GTGCAAGAACAGCTTATAAAGAACATAAAGGACAACTGAAAGAAGGCTTGTTTGTAGTTAAACACAAAACTACACAATGGGCTATCTGTGCTCTGCCCACCACGGGTATCAAAACCCGGCTTCTAGCGTTGTAAGTCCACAGACGTACCGCTGTGTCACTGGCGAAGCCAACTGAAGGAAAAAGAGGTTGTGAGGTCACCAATGTGGAGGGTTTTTGTGCGCGGCCACTCACAACTTCTTGTTGCTAATGAAAACTCAAAATTTAATTACTTAAACACAATATTATGCTTCCATGAAATAGTAATTACTCTATTTATTCTTGTACTTAACTATTTGCTTCCACATTTATATACTGAATGCAAGTCTGTTACTACACAATTTGCTGTGAGCATGTAATAAATAATATATATAACTATTTTCCTTTCATTTATGAAGTGGTATTAAATACCATAGACAAGTAAAATGAATCTCTCAATGAAATTACTGTAAATAGAGATATCCTCTCTATGGACATAACAATAGAATACCTACATACCAACTTAAGCAGGTTTCTGCATACATAGCCACAATCCCCAGTAAAGATGTAGCCATAGATAAAACTAAACAATGACCCTTCTATACAAAATCAATAAGTGAATCATATAAATGATTTATTAACTTCCATAAATCTCACACCGTGAATCGCACGGGTACATCAGCCAGTATATTAAAAATAAAGGTTACACGAATAAACTCTGCATCGGTTTCAAGAACCAGGATACATTTGTTCTCCGTCAGTTACTTTGTAGGAAAGCTTTATTCTTAAATAAATGAAATAACAAAGTAAGTAATAAATGCAAAATGAATCTTAAATTCCATGATCCACGTGATCATACGGGGAACCATTCATCTCAGTTATAAAGAGACAAGTGTTAGCTTGTCAAGTTCAAAGCAACACAATGAGCTATCTTGTTATTTACCCACCACGGGTATCGAAACCAGACTTTTAGTATCGTAAGCCTGAAGACTTACTGCTCAGCTACTGAGAGCCATCTTTTTTTTTTCTTCATAAGATGAGATTCAGTGCTATGCAATAATCAGTCTCTGTGGAAAGTGCTCTGAAAACCTTTGGGCTGGGTTTATTTCTAGTTTTGATGTTTATAACATTTTCTCAATAATATTTTAATAACTGCACTACCATTTCCTAAAACGTACTACGTTAAAACTACGTACAGAGTTGTCTGTGGTTTTTATTTGCTTACTCTATGAACACCTAAGAAAAATCCTGGAACACGAGCGCTTTAAAAAACAATTCAACATAAAAAAAACTATAGTTTATATGAGTTTTATTTTAACTCTCTTTATTTGAATTCTTCCTATTTCAGGCACTCGATAAATGTCCTTATAAGAATACCGCTATAAAAATCTTAAAAGCACGAGAACATAAAGCAGTGCAGGTAAAATAAACTAAAGAACTAAACCTCGAGAATAAAGGCAGTGTTAAGCTCCTCGACATTCATTGTTCTCCACAGGCACATACACATCAAACAAATCGGATTTCTATATATGAACATGTATGTGTGTGTGTGTGTATATATAGCCCCGGGCATGCTCTACAAATAACGAGGGATTGGTGTGTGT